GCGACTTAAACCAGTTGTGGCATGAAATGCCTGCGAGAGTCAAAGGTCGTAGTACCCACTGGCATTGGGTGGGCGATGCACACGGCCAATGAGTAGGAGTTGTTGTCCTTTCGAACAATTCGGAGCCAGCAGTTCTTTTCTACCACCGTAAATTAATCCAACGGCAGAAATGTAAATGGTCGCCTAACATAAATGCAGCTTCCTCCGCCTCCGCCGCGTTCATCGTGGTGATCATTCCGAATGCAAACATAGCCTAGAATACAGAGTTCGGAAGCAGTTACGTTGGGCGTTGCCCAGATCTCGGTTAGTATGACAATTGCTGGACGGTGGACGAAAACAAGAGTGTGGAACGACGGCGTCTTGTTAGGTAGAGAACTGCAATTTTAAACGAGCAGTTTAAGTGGACAGGCCATTGTTTTCTGGGCTGGGAAAGCTAGGCTATCACAGTGACAACCTGTGGCTAGAAATAAATTCATTTGACTTGCACAATTGGTCCGTTCCTTATTTTGAGATGCGTTTCGCATTTGGCCTTTCTTTGTTCCAGTTCTCTTATTAATTGTGTCATCTTATTTCGCTCTTCCAGCCCGTATTCCGACTGAAAAAATCCTCCGAATGCAGATTTTCTGCCTAGTAAGAGCAGACCCCGTAAGTACGATTTTCTCTCTAAGAAGTTCTGTGCCTGCTACAGCTACATTAGGAATTTCGATTGCAAAAAGGAATTTCGATTGCAATTGCAGATAGCACATGCATCGAATGATTTGTCAACTCTTTTCATGCTTAATTCAAGATACCAAATATTCGTAAGAAAATATGGCGACATGAAGTGATTATTTTTAATGGTAAATGCTTCAGGAATGGAACAAATGCACGTTGGGCAGCTGCTACATTACTGCTGTATTACCAAAGAGAATTTAACTTGTGATATTATTTTATTACAAATTTTGACATTTTTATTATCCTCATGACCGTCCGTTCATTCTTTTTGTTTTTCTAAACAATGCAGTTATCCTACTTTGGTTAGATAGTTGAGGATTCCTCAAAGTAGTACGTTTACGTTTTGGGTTGGCCCATTCGATCCCTGTTGGTTGTGTCACGCGATGGCGAACAGAACAGTCAAGGATGCTCATTCTGTTCATGGAACAAACCCACAGTACCTCATAGAAAAAATAATAAGAAGTCGGATATATGAATCAAAGTATTGGAAGGAACATTGTTTTGCCCTCACAGGTATTTTATTTACTATTTATGTATATTTGGCAGCTGAACTTTTGGTGGACAAGGCAATAGAATTGCGATACATCGGTGGAGTGTACAGCGGCCTAACAAAGCCAACTCCATTTTTGTGCCTAGTTTTAAAGATGCTTCAAATTCAGCCTGATAAAGATATTGTGATAGAATTTATAAAACAGGAGGATTACAAGTGTGTCTAAATTTTAGCCACTCATTATTGCTTAGGTACGCAAGGGCTATTGGTGCTTTTTATCTTCGTCTTGTTGGAGAATCCGCCGAAATATATAAGTATTTGGAAACACTTTATAATGACTTCCGAAAGATAAAAAAACAGGACAGTAGCGGAAGTAATTAAATTTATAGGACTTATCATACCGTTTAGAGTTTTCTCTTATTCATATGGACGAGTTTATTGATAGTCTCCTGACAGAAGAGAGAGTATGTGATGTCATACTTCCACGTCTACAAAAGAGGTCTGTCCTCGAGGAAGCGAACATCCTCGAATCACGTCAATCTCTTCTCGACGAAGACTTGGAGGACTTACAGTACAACGAGGAACTAGATGATATCCCAGATAGTGACGCTGATACTGCTAAGGAAAAACATAAAGGACGAAAACATGAAGATGACAGGGATTATCGTGAGCGGAGTAAAGATCGCGAGCGCGCCAGGGAACGCAACCATCGCCGAAGTCGCGACGAGTCGCCCCACCTAAATCACAGAGACAGACGTGATAGAGAGCGTGATTATGACAAGGAAAGGCGGAAAGACAAAGAAGACAAAGAACGCAGAGAAAAAGACAAATCCAGAAGGTTAGTAAATAATTTTTAGCTTTTATGTCTATGACCAGTTATGGTTTATTTCCCCTTCCGAAGTTCATTTTTTTGCGTTCCCCTCACGATCATTAGAAGCCTTAGTTGTTCGATAATATTTTCATTATGGACTTTCATTTTTGTTGGGGTGTCGGTCGGGTTTCCCACCGACTATTAGGTACTCAGGACAAAACTAATAAGTTCTGACTGAATTGACCGCATTCTATAAGTCATACGCGTAAAAACCGATCGCATTTCGTTCTAGTAGCTAGCCATAAAACAGTGGAAACTTAAGTCAGTTTGCATGCTCGCAACATGTTGAAACAGTAGGTCCAGGGATGCGTCCGAACGCGGTTTTCTCATCACCCGTCCCGTTTTCCTTTGGCCACTAACTGGATTCGAATGAGCTTACATTCATAACAGTAATCCCACCGTCCAAGTTGGTATAGCAGAAAGCCGAGCTAGTTCAATCGGTAAATAAAGAGGATGAAGGTGATAAGTTGGATTTCTGATTAAAGAAGTTGAAGATGTCATCTGCGAAGGTTTAGCGAAGCAAAGGTAGCATTGATCCAGTACTTTAAGACAATACCTTCTGAGCATGCGGACCATACTTCACATTCGTATGAGAGTGTAGTCTCAGAAACCGTCTCCACAGTTTAGTTTTAGGCTAGATGGTACGCAGACTCCGTACCTTTCAAGGGA